CTCATATAACACTTTACATGTAATACAACGTGTTACGAGATTCGACGACGTGATTGTTCGTTGGACATACCGCGTGCTATACAAGAATATAATCACAGATTACTTTTTTATATATAGGAAAATATAATTTATTAATACGTTACATTTTATTCTAAAATAAAATAAACCAATGAACTCTCCTTCATACTTTTCAGGCTTAGGACTGTCTATAATTGATATAAACGTTACTTTTAATGAATGTAATTTACAAATCAATTATAGGCGTATTTAAAAGTTCATTGATTGTATATACAAAAATCAACTACTTACTACTACTACTACGTACGCTATTATATACAATTTTCTATTTACATTTTATTTATATTTAAAATAGCGTCTTTTAATTTCACACTCTTTTATTCACAATCTTTTATTCTAATATTTATATATAATTCACTAACTTATTTACACACACAGAATCACAGTCACATAATAGCGTCTTTTAATTTTGTTTTCAGACAGTCTTCTAGTCGTAAAAATAAGCAACGTCTAACACTAAATCATTAAACAATGTCGCGCGCGATGAATAGCGTGCTGCTAGATAAAATACACAAAGCACGTCCGTTCACAACAGCACGCACGCGAGACTAGCAGGTTAAACTAAAAATAGTTGCCGCTTGCTGGCGCGACGCGCGATATTTATTATTTATAGCGCAATAGCGCCATAGCACCTACTTATACATTTACTTAACATGCGCTATGCAATATGGAGAGATAGCGCGCTATAATATAGCGCTATGCGCTATATTAACCACCATTATTGTTATCATTGACTGTGACAAAATATGGCGCCCGGCCGCAGCGAAAAAATTGTTGCCATATTCGGTAAACTACTATTGTCCTTTTTTACATACGAATATACTCATAAGCTAAAAAGAGACGCCGATATTTCGTTACATTCCTACAACTAACGATATTTATGTCATGTCCTTTCTTTTTTCTCTAGTCAAAGACAGATACAGACTACTTTTAGCGTCATCAAAAGCCCCATTTACATTCAGCCACTGCCACTGCTCCTCGCGCTGCCGGCAATACTTCCCCTAAATACTGCCGTAGCAGGATCGCGGGAAGTGTGTATTCACACTCTGCCCTACCACTCACATCGCTTTCGGCTTTCGACTATGGCGGACGTCGAAATAATTACAGCGTCCGCGCTGTGTCTTCTTGCAATACAAAATTATGTTAATAATTTAAAAAGATATCAAGTTCAAAAGAAGATAGATAGATAGATAGAAAATTTATTTGCTTAAAAACATGGTACATAAGATGATCAATGACGTGGAACGACATGTTTTGCCATAATTGGCATGGAAAAATGATATGAAATACAGCTAATTACACAAACCCGATGTTGCTTAAAAGTTAGGTACACACATTCTTTTTTGAATTCAAATATTATGTACAATTAAATACTTATACAGATTCACTCTATTTGAATTCTTATACAGTAAATTGTTCATAAATTATTAATTGAATTATTATATTATTGTTACATAAATAATATTAAATATTATATGAGATTAGTTAAGCTATTATTATTTTATTAATTACACTTCAGTATAAACTAATTCGTAATTTTAATTACAATAAAATTATAATTTAAAAATCTCAGGCTATTATGCAAATATTACCTTTTAACTTATTTTACATTTTAATTAATAAATAATCAATATGAGTTACTAATCGTTTTTAGAAATAAAATGTCAATGTTCATTAATTCCTTAAACTAAATTTTATATTAATATAATAAATATTGACGAATTTATAATTAATTATGTACATAGGTACTATGTTAACTCAAAAAAGAAAATTCGTATTCGTAGAAGATGATGAATTGTGGTTTTTATCGTTGAAATCCCATATAGTTTTTTCTGATTCCAGCAGTTCTAAAAACTTTATTGTATTTTCATTAATCCACTCGAAAGGCATTTTGGTAGATCGTATTTATTTAATAACAGGACGGCACGCACGTCCGTTCATCCAGGCGCACGGCGCGAAGTGAGCGATGGAGCTGAATGTGAACACACACTGCCGCTCGCGCTGCCCGTCCTTTGACTTCCGCACGAAAAACCGACATTTCGGGCAGTGTCAGCGGCAGCGGCAGTGTCAGCGCGAGTAGCCTGTTTACATACTGCCCTGCTCACTGCCCTGCTCACTTCCCTGCCCAAACGGGCTGAATGTAAATGGGGCATAACGTCTGCCGTTTGAATTACGTTTAGGTATCGCATTGTTGCCGCCCCAACGATATTTACATCTCTTTCACTCTAGTGGGATCTTTCATCGTGTTTTCGCATTGAAGTAATATGTACTTACGTACTAGAACAGCTATCTCAAACAAAAAATGTGCGCTACTCTGTGTTTGCGCGGTTACTTTTTTTATCATAGAATAAACATAGGTAGAATGATCCGTAGGTAATAGTAGATTGTATTGTTAAATAGGTAAATTATATCGAGAACAATATTTAAATTTTGTCATTTATAGTTTATGTTATATTTGCTTATTTAATATAATATTACATAATATTATATCACAATTACATTTTAATGATTTTTTAACGGAATATTTAAAAAGGTGTCTATGTCAAATATAAAAAACATACTAAATGTATGTTTATCAAAACTTATTAACATAAGATTACAAATTATTTATTTAAATTAGAATAAGAGTCGTTCATAAATGCTGGGCACGCGAGAGTTAAAATGGACGAATTTATTTCACCTTGACTTCCTGTAAGCTCTGACAGCGCGCGACATGTTATACTCCCGTTCGCTCGGGACCGTAATGGCGGGAAAATTTGAAAATTAGCAAATTTTTTGCTATATTGCAAATTTTGCTATATTTTCACTTTGAGACAATATTTATGGATAAAACTTACAGGAAATCTTGTTGAATGTATAAACTATCGAATAAAATTATTTTTGGTTGCTAGAAATTGTAATAAAATACGTAAATTACCCTGTATAGCTGTATAGTGGTATATACTTCAATTTTAGTGACAAAATTACTACTAATTTGAATTCTACACTTTTGTTTTTAGAGAAATTTATATGAAAATGTTTGGAAATATGTATATTTTTATGTTTTATGTGTTTCCATTCGTTACTCATACCAAAATATAAAATATAAAGAAATTAAAAAAAATTAAATATTAATATTTTATCTGTGTGACATTTAGAACAATATTTCTAAAATAGTTTTGTGTGAATTTGAAATAAATACAACGTCAAGTTATTTGAAATATGTAAGAAAACTATTTTTACTTACATTTTACACTAAAAATAAATGAGAATGTGAAAAATACCACATTTATGACCCAGCCGCCATAATTAGCCTTCCAGATTTTGAAGCACTTTTGGCAATTTACTTTTCACTTTTTATACCACAAATTATATATATATATGTGTTCACTATATTACAAGGAATATAAAAAAGTATAATACTTTCGTTTTTAGTCCAGACACAAATATAAAATTCTATAAAAACACGGAGCACCGTCATCAAAACGGCACGTGGAACGCCGAAAGTTCAGAGTGATTTCTTTTTTTTTTTTCTAAGAAACATTGCCAGGTTATGGTTTAAAATAAAAGAGCATATCTTTGTCTTTGATACTAATATCTATTGCATAGTGTCTTTGGTTTTGTTTAAAACGAAAAAATAGTTTTTTCATAGGTAGACATGTTTACATAATTCTGATCTAATTCGATCACTACTTGGCGGGCGTAAGGTTGGTATTGCGCGATCGAATGTGAGCAACGCTTGGTTTAATTTGTTGTGTTTAGGTTTCCTAAAAATAAAATAAAAGAATAATAAGCAGATTTAAACATTAAAAATTTAGCCTAATTATAATAACTTATATATGCCCCTACAAAAAAAAATGTGTATAATAATATACTTGTCCTATTCCCAGAGTACCCACAGAAATAATTCCATAATCTATATTCCGTGACACGAGATGGCGTCTTAGAAATAATTTGTTTTATTATTAATCTATAATACTTTTTATTGATTAAGTATCTTATTAACCGATGAAAAGTAATTCCTTGGTTTTTACTGACATTTCTTGAATTATTTGAGCAATATCTAAGTACACACGACGGCATATTTTTATCAAGAGATTTTTTTAAATCAACACAACACGTGACAACTCCACAAGGCGGCTAGTGAGTGACTGATTAAAGTGCGGTGTATGTGTCGCAGGAAAATAACAAGAATCGCAAGTTTATAAATTTCCTAGCAAATTTATAAGCCTTCGTAGAATTCTAAACGACAGATAAATTATATTATTTTACGCCCACGTTTTTGCAAATTTATCAATTTGCGACGTCTCGCGGTAAATTATAAACTAACGGATTTCCATTCGTAAGATTCTAAACGGTCGGACCAATCACAGAAGAGCTTTTAATTTTACGCTTCTTTAAAATACGTCAAATAACACACTGCTCTCTGATTGGTCGATGTTGACAGTGGCAATGCTTCTGTCCATAGACTTAGGAACAATCAGACTAGCCTAACTATTTTATCAATTTTACTTTAAAACTAGCTACCTATAATAAATGGTTACTTTTTTTACATAATAATGCTACTTAACTCTACCAAAATAAAACGACAGAAATAGTGTTATACGATGTTTAAGAGGTTTATTAAAAAGAAAAAACAATCATAAAACATAAAAACCGGCACTTTAAAAAATCAAACATTTTAAAATTAAATAAAAATTATATTTGTGAGCCTCAGGCGAGTTGCCAAACAGACGCTAGGTAAGTGAGAGCTTTATGAAAAATATGCTTAAAAACATATAACAAATTAAACATAATAAAAAAAAGGAAATTAAAAGTTAAAAGTTTGTCGTTGATATCAGTACATTATAGTATTATTCCCGATTATTTATTTATTGTAACATGTCAAAGATTTATGGCACCTCGAATTATACAAAATATTACCTTTTTTACAAATGCACTTATTAGATAAACATTGTCCCTTGGAATATTTTTTGCAGTTGCATTGCTTCATTCCTTGCCCACCAAATGCAGAAGATACGCAGATATTTTTTTAATGGTAACTTGGCCTGTAAATATAAAAATGTAGCACATAAAAAATTGAATTCATGTTTATAGGTATTAAAAAAATTGAATTTAAAATTATTTATTTCTTTAACAAAAGAAGCCTTAAATATATTTTTGAACGGAGCCTCCATTTAAGCTCAAAAAGCCTGTGTTTGGAGGAACCGCTCTTCCTTAATTAACTTACATAACTAAATGGCATTAATAATACAAGATGTTGACACGCTCAACCCATTCCACCCGACGATCATAATATCTTGGGATCAGTACAAATAACGAAAATAAAAAAATGCAAAATAGACTGCAGGATGAGCTGAACGTACCACGTAGCTAAACAATTTGTAAGGTATAGTAGTAAAAATTGTAATCGAACCTCTGGAAGATCATCAGGCAAAATTTCTCCTGGGTTTGGAAGGACAGCGTTTTGAGGCAACCAGTCATTGATGACTCCAAAAGTGCCAACTTTGTATAATTCATTCCCTTTGTCTATGACTTTGCCGACCGCATTCTTGCTATCTAAAGGCCCTCTATCTACTTTTGGAACTTCGACTAATACAGTAGCACCAACATCAATATTTTTGAATTTCTTAGATGAAAGTGCTGTCATTTTTTCTGCTGCTCTTTTTAAATTCAAGTGCGAGTTATTCCTTTCTCTCAGGATGTTTATTTCGTTTGAGCACAAATTACATATCGGCTGCGAACCATATCCTTCATCGTTGTTTTCTGTTGACTCTCCACAGATTACGTGTGTGATACGTTTACATTTAATACACGTATGGGCCCCTGATGATTTCTTGTTACATATGTGACAAAACAATGTATCTGATTCGCCAACTTCGATTTCGTGTGAAATCACGTCAAACTCGTGCAAAATATGGTTTGTATTTGCGGTCATTGCAAGTCATTTACGGTCTTACGTTCATTGTCATTTGTAGTTTCTAAGAATGTCTCCAAATCCTCTTCCATTTCAAACTGAGACATTATATTCTTAGACAAATGCATAGAAGTTATACCGCATCTTCGATCATCTCCAAACAGGGCTTTAAAAGGTGTCCTTCTAATCGTAGAATGGTATGAAGAATTTTTCTGAAATTGAGGAAGTAACAGCCTATTGACCAATTATTCGAATTATTATCTACCATCCAAGCCCGAATCATATTCTTCACGTCTTGGTTTGATCGTTCTAGACTTCCCTGACTTTGGGGATATCTGGGTCTTCCATTCACAATTTTGCAAACTGGCCATAAGCCAACAATTTCTTTCAATACTGATGCCGTGAACTTCCGTCCATTGTCGCTCTGAAAGATATTGGGACAACCAACTTCTAAAAATATCTTCAAAATCTCTATTGCGACTTCCTTTGCTTCTTGACTCTTTAGAGGTCGTAAAAAACAAAACTTTGTCAAATGATTTTGGTACTATAGCATCCATTTGTATTCCCCATCTGGAGATGATTGAAAATCCACAAGATCTACCTGTCTTCTTCTATTAAAGTCATCTGAAATAAGTGGTTTTACGATTATCCCAGCTTTAGGGAAACTTTTTTTGGAAAGATAAGTATTGCACAATTGGAGAAAAATATTTATAGCAAATACTGGAACCATGTACTTGTTTTTCAAGGCGTGAATAATTTTGTCACGCCGACCGTGACCTGTAGCAACATGTGTATACATGTGTATGTATGTATAGTATTGACTGCTAGGAACTATTTGTACCACTGGATCTTGCTGAGACTTTCTTTTTTACTATCAAGACTTTTTCGTCACTAAAAGTCATAATAACATACTTTTTAGCGTGATAGCATTCTTTATCTGTGGGTCAAGGTCCCAAAACTTTAGCTTTATTAAAATCTAGTATTTTAATTACATTTTTAATTTTTTCCTCTGGCCGTTCCGACTTCTTACTATTTTGGTCATGTCCACTATAAAACTTTCGTAGCTCTGTAGAAGACAATTTCACTTCGTCAACAATTTTTGTAGCATTTGCCGCACTATCTTCACCGTTTTGGCAGTCCGCAGCTTCTAGGTCGCTCTTTATGGGTCTTGCTTAGTAACCTTAGCAAAATAAAACTATTCTCACAGTTCCAACACAGGTTAAAACGTTAAAAACTTTACAAAAACACACGAGAAGCCGGTTTGTTTATATTCCGTGGCGAACAATGGCGGTGGAGACGAAGGAGACGAAACACGTAACTTATTCAACCAATCGGAGCGCACATGGCGTTTGGTTATTGCTTACTTATTATTTTACGCGTGAGTTCGGTAAGTTTATCAATTTTCAAAAATGTTGGCGTAAAATAATACAATTTATCAGTCGTTTAGAATTCTACGAAGGTTTATAAATTTGCTAGGAAATTTATAAACTTGCGGTTCTTGTTTTTTTTCCTGTGACATATGCACCGCAGTTGAGTGAAAAGAGTAGCTGAATGCAGTGTCGCCTCTAGTCAATGATTTCAAAAGGGAGGATAGGCCCATCTAAACATTTTACTCATAACTTTTTCGTACAAGAAAAAGTAGCGCGTCTGTCATAATACAAACGTCATATCAAAACACGACGTAACCAGGGTAGGATTTCGTAGTATAATTATCCTAATTGTACCATTATTTCATAGTTTGTAGTACATAGTATCGTAATAATACTAAGCGAAAATACCATTATTTTACCTAAAGGTCGATTTGCATTATTATTGGGTCCTTTTACATTTTAATATTACCCCCACCATATCGAGAATTTCTGTAGTGTAAATAAGTACAGCGTTTTTTTTAATAAAATTAGAATTAGCTCCCTTTCTTGTCAATCAATGCTCCATCGATGCATTTATTTTGCATCCTTGATACAACTCTGATGAGGGTGGTTGGAGGGAGGATGCTAGCATTTTTACCGTGGTAGACACGGTAAAAATTCTATGCTGCGGAATCAATCAGTTTGAAAACAGAATTTCAAAATATTTTATGAATCAGATTTTCGGATTCAATTAAGCAGATATGGTTTCTTATGTACTCTTTTAGTTTTATCATTTTTGAATATAAAATATTTAGGTACCAATATTCAAAATTTAACTTACACTAAGTTCTTTAGACAAAAATTAAACATAAATAAAAATAAAACCGTCAAAAAACAAAACGTATCGATAAACTAGACACGTGACGCTAAAATCCCGGCACATGGGAAAAAACATGAAACGTCAAACGTGATATAATATTTTGTAAATAGTATAATTTAATTTTTCATGTACAATATTTTTGAGGTCTTAATCCAGCCCTGGCCTAATCTTGGTAACGTAACTAAACTACTGTAAAATGAAACTTTAAAAATGCGTTTATATAATAATTTAATTATAACAAAATTAATATAAGGTTATCTACCGATGATACGATATCCTAGGTTTTTTTTAAATCTTTGTATCGTAATTTTTGCATTCTTTTACCACGCAACTAGACATTTGTGACAGATAAAATCTGTCCTGCGCGCGCACCACTCTCGACCGATTCGCGTTGGCCCTAAACTATAATTTTAGGGCCAGCGCACTGGTCCGTTTTAGTTGTTCGGCCGGCCCGGTCCTTACGCTAGTAATATATAAGTCAATGCCTCTAGTACGTAGTACATAATAGCTCAATGTGTTTTCGCCTAGAAGACCCAATCGTTGTCGAGTGTGTTTGCAATTAAATCCAAAGATTTCATCAAATCTTATACTGAACAATTAAATTTTAGGTCAGTTTACTATACATTTTATTAATATATTACATGAAACATTCAGTTTTAAGCCAGTTTATCATTGAACGTTGTTATACTTTTCGAGGTCCATTACTAGTTAAGTTAGTTTACTTTTAAAACCTATCCATTATATATGGTAACACTTTGTAACTTCAAGTTAAAGTCTCTTTAGGTAATAACCTAAAGTTAGTTAGTAGTTACACAAGAGCTGCAATATTAGTCGAGTCTTTGTTTGAAAAAAAAAAATGAATGTAATATAATGCGTAATTTTTTCATACTCAAAGCCTGTAAATGTTTTATGTTAAGTCATTGTTGATCTAAATACTGCGTACAATGTTTTTTTTGAACAAGAGGCATAATATTACTATTTATGTTTTAGATTGATAATGTCATCTAATGGGTTGAAAAAGATGTTAGAGCTTGTTCAGGTTCGAAACCCGGCGCCACAACCAGCAACACAAGTTAGAGAACATGATTTGGTGCCATCAACTGAATTGGAGGTAACAATTTCAAGTAACTTTAAAAATTAGGTGTGTATTAATTTCTTATTTATTTTAGTACTACTAAAGTACGTTTTTTTTGTTATAGATGATAGTTGATATAACAAACAAGCCCGAAAATCAGCGCCTGAAAGTCGTCAGCGCAGGAACATTTTGAAATTTCGGCTTCAGTCAGCAATAAAAATCACCTTCATAACACCACAGTCGTCCACGATTGCACTGATGAGACATTCAAAATCTGAAAGTAGTGATATCGATTTAAGTCATGAAGATCCAACATACAAAGTTCCGTCTAACAAGCAAAGGCAAATACCGGTATATCCAAGTCGATCAAAATCATCACAAAAGTTCCTCATCTTCTACGTCTTCTTAATCAACATCATCGTCAGGATCTTGCAGTAATAATTCTGAAGCAGACTCTAGTGGTGAACAGAACAAAACACAAGATAAAATAGTTCAGGCAACCGCAGAAAAAATCAGAGCAAACAAATATTAATTAACCTGCAACAACATAAGTTTCGCTAAATCAAGAAATCGGAGAAAATATTACACCATTGAATGACAAGCTCGTGGAACCTGTCCATGCGGTCGGAGCTAAGTTCTGCAAGACCCGCCGCAGAAGAACACATAAACTCTTCACACTCTTAATCTCATGGCTGTTAGACGGGAGATGAGGCTGCAATCGTCAACAGATTTGACAGCATACAGGCAACTGAACAGACAGATCTCCAAATGCATGCGGCGAGACTTACGCAACTTTAATACTGCTCGTATTAACATCTACATCTCGTATTAAAGAAGCGATCGAGCGGAACCAGGGCTCCAAAGTATTTGCCAGAGATCTGTCTGCCAGAAAGAGCCAACTGTCAAGGCTGAAGACTGAGTGTGGCAATATCATTTCCGGGACACCTGAGATTCTGAGTGAGATTGAGAGGTTCTATGGGCAGCTGTACACATCATCGTTGGAGCCACACGCAAGTGTGAGTAACGATCCAAGAGCAAGTCTTATCCGACACTATTCCGATGATATCCCGGACGTCAGTCTGAGCGAGATTAGAATGGCTCTCCACCACCTTAAAAGCGGCAAGGCCCCGGGCGAGGATGGAATTACAGCGGAGCTTCTGAAAGCGGGTGGAACACCGGTACTTGAAGTCCTTCAGAAGCTCTTCAATTCCGTACTCCATGGTGGCAATCCTACATGGAGGCGTGGAGCAGAAGCGCGGTGGTCTTGTTCTTTAAGAAAGGCGACAACGCTCTCTTGAAGAACTACAGACCGATTTCCCTTCTGAGTCGCGTCTACGTGCTGTTTTCGAGAGTCATTACGAATCGTCTCGCACGCAGACTCGACGACTTCCAGCCTCCCGAACAAGCCGGTTTTCGAAAAGGCTTCAGTACCATAGACCACATACATACCCTTCGGCAAATTGTACAGAAGTCCGAAGAGTACAATCTGCCACTTTGCCTGGCATATGTGGACTATGAGAAAGCCTTTGATTCCGTCGAAATTTGGGCGGTGCTACAGTCTCTTCAGCGGTGCCTAGTTGACTGTCGGTATATTGAAGTGCTGAAGTGTTTGTACAGTAGGGCTACGATGGGTATCCGAGTACAGAACCAGAGTACGAAACCTATCCAACTGCAGAGAGGTGTAAGACAGGGTGACATAATATCCCCGAAACTCTTCACCGCTGCATTGGAAGACGTGTTCAAGCTACTGGACTGGAAAGTATACGGTATTAACGTCAATGGCGATTACATTACTCACCTTCGATTTGCCGATGATATAGTTCTTATGGCAGAATCGATGGAGGACCTAAGCACTATGCTCAATGACCCCAATAATGCAATCCAACGGATAGGTCTTAAGATGAACATGGACAAAACAAAGATCATGTGTAACGTCCATTTCACACCTATGCCGGTAGTTGTTGGGACCTCTAAGCTTGAAGTTCATGACGAGTACGTTTACCTGGGAGAAATAGTCCGACTAGGCAAGTCCAACTTCGACCGAGAGGTCAATCGACGAATTCAACTCGGCTGAACAGCGTTCGGGAAATTACGACACATCTTCCCATCAGGCATACCTTAAACCTCAAAACAATTTTACAACCAGTGCGTGTTGTCAGTGATGACTTATGGATCTGATCTGTGACGTGGTCTTTCATTGCTGGTCGTATGAGGACGCTCAAGGTCGCTCAGCGAGCTATGGAGAGGGCTATGCTCGGAGTTTCACTGCGTGATAGACTCAGAAATGAGGATATCCGCAGTAAAACCGGAGTGACCGACATAGCCCAACGCATTAGTAAGCTGAAGTGGCAATGGGCCGGCCATATAGCTCGAAGAACCGATAACCGATGGGGAAGAAAGGTTCTCGAGTGGCAGCCTCGTACCGGTAGGCGTAGTGTAGGGCGACCCCCCACTAGATGGAGTGACGACCTGGTAAGACATGCAGGAAGTCGATGGATGCAGGTGGCTCAGGACCGTGCTTTGTGGCATTACTTGGGGGAGGCCTATGTTCAGCAGTGGACTTGTGAAGGGCTGTAATGATGATGATGAAAAACGCAAAGAAGTCTGACAAGAAAATTTCACTGACATTTGAGTCGTTTTTAGACTTAAAAAAGCTGCAAGAAGATTGCGATTTTAATGTTAATAAAACTAAAGACGGGAAAACTGTTTTATGGAATGACTTAAAAGTGATAAAAGTTAGCCAAGATACTTCTTTTTAATTTTTCGTTAAAACTTCGTATAAAGATAGTTAATACCAGGAAGTGAGCATCAGAAGTAAAAGGCACAAAAATGCTTCCTCTGTGTGAAATTGTACTAACTAATGTCTACATAAATAAGCAAGAACTAATTGAAAATTAAAAAAAGATTTGAGAGAGCTATTATCAAAAAAATTGGTCTCAAATTTTTATTCAAATTTTTATAAATCTATTATTTAACCACTTAAAATGAAAGAGAATAACCTTAACCCTTTCACAGCGAATCACGAGTACCGCTCGGCATTCGTATCAAGCGGCGCCTTAAAATGCTCCGCTGTGAAAGGGTTAATGTTGATTACTGATTACATACCAAAGTTTATTAAAAAATAAGGTTCCTTTAGTTTAAGTAAGTTCACTTTAGAAGTTTATATTTTATAGAGATATAACTAAAGTTGATTATAGTAATAATAATAATAATGAGATTATTAAAGTATCAACCCACTTATGTCTAGTACATTTTACATCTAAGACAATGAATCAGATGTAGGTTTTTTTATACACGTAAAAAAATACAAATTAAACTCGATTAATGAGTTAAAATATAGTGCTTAAAATATTTGTTCATGCTCTATCGCGTCCTATGCATCCCCTATCAGTGTTTATAAAATATATTGTCAGGAGATACCTGAGGAAGGACCTTAACTAATTCATTTGTTGAGTTACGTACAGTTTCCCTGAAACTGGCCGTTCTACAACGTAAAACTGCGTAAAAGTCTGGGACAGCAGCCTCTGCGAACATTGCGGACGCACTGCAGTACCGTGGATGTTTCAAAAAAAATACGAAAAGCATCATTATACTGTACTCTGAGCATGTTATGGGATTTTTTGGTGTAATTTTTCCAAAGTTGTCTGGTATAAAAGCTGATACAATAGGCTTTAAACAGAGTAATCTTAACATCCTCAGAACATAAACCAAAACGACGTGCATGCATATTACAACGTGTAGCTAGAGCCCTAGGTTCACGCTCAATATTCAAGTCGTCACTCAGGCTCTCCGACAACATATGACCCAAGTACTTGAATTTCTTCACAGTCCGAACCTGCACACCATTTATGCTTACTGGCGGTACTCTCCTCGGACCCTTTTCAGCACGAAATACTAGCATTTCAGTCCTAGACTCATTATATTTTAATCCATACTGACGATCATAATTTTCGCAGATGAATAGATATAAGTTTTCTAAGACCGTAGATCAATGGGCTAAGGAGCATCATATCGTCTGCGTAGCTAAGGTTGTTAAACGCTACGCCATTAATGTAGCATCAAATTTTAGTACTCCTAAGCTCCTCGATCAAGCCGTCAACATAAAGATGGAAAAAGTCCGGGGAGGTCAGCCCTCCCTATCGTACCCCACAATCTAGTTTATAGCCTCTAGAGGTTGTGTCGTCCCACCTAACTTTATTCGTCTTTCTCGTACCAGTATACCAGCAAACCCAGAACAGTGCCAGGTACATTGGAGTCATGCATTTTCGTCCATAATACATCATAATTAACAAGGTAAAATGCACAACAGGTCCAGAAAGCAAGCGTAATCAGATGTACGACGTCGACGCCGTAAGACGTCTTATATAATAGTTTACAACGTGCCTAACTGACACTATTGCAGAGTCGGCAGAAACACCGGCTCCAAGGTGGAGTTTAGTGGGTAAAAGTCTCCACATAACCACGTAGCCGGCTGCATGGGATGCTATGATCATTCTCCAACTGCCTCCCCGTTACCGGAGGGTTGCCCTTAATTGCTTCGGCCGCAAAAAAAAAGAGAGATAGGACGGTAATTGGAGATATTAGAGAGGTCACCGGTTTTGTTCTTAACGACAGGTACAACAATCGTCTGTAACATTTTATCAGGAAGATGTGTTTAATAAGAGAAGCAAATAATTTATCAATGGCATAAGGCAATGGAACCAGTTATGGACAGTTTTAGAAAGGGTTTGCGGATAATATAACACTGGAAACGACTTTTAATGAAATTAATGAAAAAATAAAAGAATGGTTTCTTGGGAATCATTTCTAATAAAGAAAAATATAATACCAGGTTATATATGTTTGAAAAAAAGTTAAATCAAAGTCACTCCTAATCACTAGTGATGGACAGGCAAAATTTAATTATGGATACCCAATAATGGACAATCTCCAGTAATGGACGTCTAGTAATGAACACATAGAGACAACAAATATTTGCCTCACTTACTTTGGCATGTTGAATATAAATGATAAGACTAGTAAGTATTAAATGTTGAGGAACAAAATTGGTACCAGCAGAAATAAAATGCACAAATTAGTAGGTACTACTAAACATTAGTAAGTGCTCTTACAATATAACTTCATATCATCGAAATCAGTCAGTGGTGGTTTAAACAAACAACAACAATAATTTTAGTAGTCATAGATATAAAACTTCAAAAGACGAAAACAATAAAATTACCTATACAAATAGCTTACTTAATGGTTAGTTAAATTACACATAATAAACGACATAAGTATCTAATGAATAGTAGACGCACCTCCTAATGTCTCTGGTATGTATGTATGTGTGTATAAGTATGTATAATCTATGTCATGTATATATCAGGTAAAAATGTATTTATCTCTGCAACTTTAAAGAATCCTCTATTATTTTTTTATAGGGGGTCTCATTATTTCAATAATGTCACTCATTTTTTACCAGATTTTATCTGCTCTGTCTGGCCATCTGAAAGTGTTCCCAGTTGATAGTACCATTGTACTAATTTCGTACATCCCTCTATTTTTGTCTTCAATTTTACCCGGGAAATATTCACCTTCATATGTAACTATTACATAACAACCTGTTTTTAAATCTTTTACAGAAACTTTACTGCTAGAAGACGCCAGTGAACTTAAAGGCATATTTTCAAGATCCGATACAGAGTGCGAAAGAGGTCTTTGACTCTTTTTTTGTGGCCTTTTATGAAAAGCAAGTTTCAGTCTTCGTTTTACAGTCACCATTTTATTTTCGCCTTCCGTATTCTCTACAATTGAATCACTATCTTCATTCCATTTGCTAGCTGGCTCACATCCAGCCTGATTCTGATCGCAATCGAACCTGAACCTGACGCTATCAGATATAGGTTTAGGCACACACTCATAAGCAAACACTATCATAGGAGGTGCTATTTGACCAGCAGCATTTGCAGTTACTAAAACAGTCAAGTTTTCTTTCTCATTACCAGATGTGGTATACACATTCTTATCACCCCGTCTTACTAAGACACAACCAGATTTTGGCGATAAAAAGAATGCACCTTCATCTGCATTATATATCCTGCTAGGTTGTTTCAGCAAATGCTCAAGGTTTTGCTCCCGAAGGTAATTTTTACTCAGTAAACCAAGATTTGATTTGTTGTTCAGTGACATTATCATGTGATGTTATTATATTTTGTGCAGTTCGTTCCGAAATCTCAGGATGTCTTTTGAGAAATGCTGGCACCACGTCTTTCTGTGATTGTTAGTAAAAGGTGTTTTCCTGTTGTCCTTAATTATTATTTGTTGGACACTGTCCAGTAACTGTTCTCGTGATATAGGAAAATATCGATCGGCTAGTGCAAAAAGCCATTGTACAAATATTTGCTCTTCTTGAACCGTAAGAATTGTAGCTGGGCCCATTGAACAAACCGCAGGGCTTATCCCCGTCACCTTATTTCTAAGCATGATACGAGGTATACCATATTTAGATGCTTCTGCACTCACTGCTTCCCCTCTCTTGACCGCCTCTATGGCACTTCGCATTTGTTCTGGCGTATATTTTCTTTTGGGCGCCATGACTAGTAACGAAAACCACAAAATTAAAATTTTATTTGAAATCCCCTAATGAACAACCAATGTTGGACATCCACGTCCATGACTGGATTGCATCCATGTTATAGTAGCATAAATAGAATGTACCCAAAAGACGATACAACAAATGTAAAACGAAGGCAATTGCTATGAAAACATAGATACTCAATTATGGACATTTTGTCCATAACTAGTTCTAGTTGAAAATCGATATCCAGTTATGAACATTCACATTTAACAAAATATACAAACACTTTTAAATAGTTTTAGGTTAATTTTGTACCTACAATATTCCTATGAAATAAAATATTCAGTATAATAATGAATTATTCTCAAGATTTTCCATAAATATCTTAAAATATCTACTCATCTCACTAATGAATTCCGTTAGAAATAATCGAATTGGGAAATCACTCTGCACTGTGCTATTTAAGCTGCGACAATTTTGTAACGAAATGACAGAATAAACCGAAATCGCAACAGTTGATAGCTTGATATAATTAGTTTATAGTTCAATGTTACCATTAAAAAAAATGTGTTAAATTATCCTTATTTCTTTCCTTTTTCCAAGCGTGTGTCCATTACTGGAGTATAGTCCATTACTGGTGACTTTACCTTAGAGAATGTGCTCAACACTGACATTGTTTTATTTAATAGGTTGGATCACCAAAGCGAGTTTATTTTTTTAAAGTAAATTAGACTTTTTAGTTTTTTTTATAGCGTTTTTTGTGCAATTGGAGCAGTTTTCCGGCTTGTATTGATAAGTTAAAATTGTTATTTTTATCTGCTACTTGTGAAGTTTGCTGCAATAAAAGATTGATGATTATATTTATGTTTTTGAATTAATTAAAAAACGCCAATATAACTTTATTTATAGTCTGCTAATTTGAATAAAGTGACCCAATCTCTAAATATATTTTACTAAAGTAATAATATACTGACTAAATACTGAATTAGTCGTTATAAATAATACATTATTCAAACTGAAACCGGCTTAAAACTTAATGGAACATTTGCATTTTAAAATATTTGCCTTACTTTTTAAAAAACGGTGACATAACTCAGAACGTACTTTTAAAAATATTTTTTTAAAATAGATAGAAATTATTACCGATTTTTTTAACTCAGATCTAATCAATAGTTCATCATAGAAGTTCAAAATACAAGCATTCATGATTAATATGAATCAGTTTTATTTTTATATATCAACAAGTAGGATAAGTCCTCATAGCAAGTTCTTCTTTTGCGATTTCCCAAAATCGTCTTTTTTGAGTTAAGTCAGTATTACATTAACACGATATATATATATATATATATATATATATATATATATATATATATATATATATATATTATATATATATATATATATATATATATATATATATATATACAGATGGAACTAAAGAAGTTTTACTTCAGTCGTGTGTTCATAAGCGCACTCGTTTTTATTGAGTAATTACCGTATAAGTGCACATGGCCACCACTAACCGTGACCGAACTCTTCAATGTCCGATAAATTTTACTCTCTTCAATTTCCGATAAATTTTATTTCCAATCTGAAACGACTAGAGAGAGATTAGGCGCAGGAACTAACGGATTTACTCGTAAGTGCTTTTCGAGGCACGGCGGTGAAGAACCCCCCAACTTCCTTACTCCTGTCTAGTGCTATAAATCTCTTAACAAAAAACCCCAATAACTGATTTTAAGCCCGTCCGTCGGGATTCGAATCAAAGAATATTTTGCTCAGCAGTCGTGTAAACGACCGCCAACAAGGTAGTTAAATTTTACGAGACTTTTTATGTGTAAAAAGCTTATAGCCTAACTCGGTGTTTGTATAGTTTGAGTACTAATAGTAATATAACGAGTGTTCTTTAAACACTTACTAGAATTTGTACCCAGTCCGTGTAAGGGTATTATATAGTTAAAATATTTTTACTGGTGGTAAAATATAAATAAGAATGGCTTTCAATAATATTTATAATCTATGCTAGAAATAAAAAAATATCTCATATCTATAATCTAAAACAAACAAACTTGTGTATGAAGTCGAGCCTTTGTTGACCAAAGTCTCGGATTGGAGATGACTAAATCGAGTCCAGTTCAATAATCCCCAGAAGACACAAGTTCGCACATTTACCGCTAAAAAGAACCCTTTTGTCGTATCTCCTCAATTTTAAGTCACTCCCCTTGTTGTCTCAGCCAGTATCGGAATCCTCGGCATCGACATATCGAATGACGTGCAGTTTTGGCCGCACATAAAATACTGTTCCCATCTCTGGGCCGGGGCTCCCCAGTGCTAGCTCCTTCCATTTGATCGCATCCAGCGCAGAGCTGTTCGAATCGTCGGCGACCGAGCTCTTTCCAATCGGCTTGACTCACTGGCACTGCGAAGAGATGTTGCATCTCTTTGCATATTTTATCGCATCTAGCACAGGGAGTGCTCTGAGGAATTGTTCGGACTAATCGCAGCCGCACAATTTCACCATCACGCATCGCGACAAAACTCTCGATATCATCCGTACCATCTGGATGACTAGCGGTCCACCACCGTGCGATTTAAAATAAGTTTTCCTCCTAGCACAACTTCCTTGTGGAATCGACTACCACCAGAGATTTTGCCTGACCAATACAACTTAGGGACCTTCGAGAAAAGAGCCTACTCCTTTTTAAATAACCGGCAACGTATCTGCAATTCCCCTGGTGTTGCAGTTGTTCATGGGCAGCGGTAATCACTTACTATCAGGTGAGCCGTATGTTCGTATGTCCCCTCTCCCATAAAAAAAAAATCTTCCACATAGATACTTAGCTATATCATGTTTGTAGTACGAACGGGTTGGATCAACCATGGTAAGTTTCGTATGGTGAAGAGAACCGGAGACCCTTTTTACTGGAAATAAGACATTCCATCTTAATTCTCAGGGGTGACAACGCATCAGCATTTGATGATTAATAAGGGATAAATGAAGATGTCTATGAGCCATAGCATCCACTTATCATCAGGTGGACGACTGTGTGCTCGTTTGTCAATCTAGTTTTATTAAGTATAAAAAAAACAGTCGCATCTCGACACAAGCATGTGAGGCCTTGTCAGTGGCAGACACCGGTTGCAGATTGTCAGGGCTGAGCATCCGTACCGTCACATTTTAGTCTGCTACGGATCGCCGTATGCGAATGCATTAAATTAGTTTTACTAAAAAATATCTGCTACACACAAGCGTGTTTAGGCTACTGTAGTTTCTAACTTACAAATGTTATCATTGTATTAGGCGTTAGTTTTTTTCTATTTTCCTAGAAATATTGTATTTGAAAATATGTTATTCGTCTTAACATTTCCTTTATAAGGTTTGCATTATTTTCTTTGCATTAAATTGTGCTTGCAAGAGGAGGCGTAAGGCGTGGGCGACGTGGGCCACCGCCTACGCCCTCGCTATCCAGGGGGCCTCGCACCCTGGAGGTTTATGCATTACTTAAAACCGTAAACGCGCCAAAAAAATGTCATTGTCATGAATCGATATTATTGACATAACTAAATACGTTTTATTCAGTCTATCAACATTAGTTTGCGTTACTATTGCGGGGAATCCCCGCTGCGGGGCGACCAGTATATATACAGTAATCTATGGAGGCGACAAAGGCTGAGGATTCCCCGTTTTGTTTGTTAGACATAGAATACTTACTTTATTTAATCGTGGGCGCGTGGCAATGGATTAAAGAGTGCGGTACAGCAGCCCACGTGGCTGTTGTAGGTATATTTTCGCACTGTACGCACGTGAGTAGATAAACGGAACAGACACAAAGCTTCTTACGGCGCCTCTACACGTTGGCCAACACAGTGGCGATTGTAGTGGCCAATAGCATTGGCGAACGTGTAGACGGGGTGTTTGGGCTTCATTGGTATGAATTGGAACGATGGCCCGCAAGTTGGCGCGAGATCCGTGTGGTCTCGGTTTTTTACAAATATCAAAGGATTGTTGGCAGAGTTTGGTCGCCGCGCCCACACGTTGGCCGCGAGTTTAGTTTGCTACAAGCTCCCAGAGTGATTACACGCATCTGATTAAAATTTTATATTCACGCTTTGTAGGGTGGATGACCCAATTACCAGCCTTTTAGTGCCAATTTCCACTTTAAACATTCCTACTACTTTAATTTGCGCGATTTAATTATTTTTAAACATTTGTTTTAATCGATAAGCCATTTATAAAAAAAAAATAATGAACATTTATTTGCAATCAGATTATTACGAGAACAATTTTAAAATCAAAAAAAATTAAGCACGTCGTTTATACGTGGTAGAACCATGCAGTTTTATTAGAAGTATAGTTGTAGCAGGAATGGGTCGGTTCGACCGGGTAAGGACCACGCTCTCACAGAATATCAATGTAAAATAGTAGCTTAATGATGCTGTGTTTCGTATAGTGAGTGTAGAGAACCGGAGACACTTTTTAAAGAAAACGAGGCATTTCATCTTAGTCCTCGCGGGTGACAACGCATCTGCATTTTGATTCATAATCGAGGATAGATGTAGATGTCTATGGGCCACAGCAACCACTTACCATCAGGTGAACTGTGTGCTCGTT